ATACACTCACCACCTGTCTCCTTTCCTTTGTCAGCTTCTCGTATGTCCTTGCCGATCCTGGCAAATGGAGCCTATTCTTAGGTCCTGTTTTTTGTTCAGGTTTTTCCACTAGTTAGTGCCTAATCCACTTCTGTATAGTTCCTTTCAAAGCTCAGGGTTCCAGGATTATCTTCTGTATCTCTGTCAACTGATTTTTCTTTTCTTTGTTGAAGAAGGTCTGTGTCACTTGTCTGCTTATTCTTCCATCTTACCAGAAGTCCTCTGTCTTCCAAATTTCTTGACACAGGTGAGTGAGCACTTCCAACACTGCATATATTTGTTGAAATATCTCAATTGGCATTCCATCAATTCCTGGAGCCTTATTTTTCACCCAAATAAAGACACAAACAGACATATGCACACCTATGTTCACTGTTGCTTTATTTACAGTACAAATAAATGGAAATAACCAAAGTGTCCATCAGTGGATGAATGGATAAGCAAACTGTGGTACATATATACAGTGGAATACTGTACAACCATAAAGAACAATGATAAGTCTGAGAAACACATCAAAACTTGGATAGCCTTGGAGGGCATAATGCTAAGTGAAGTTAAGTCAAGCATGTAAGGACAAATATTATAGATCTCTGTTAATAAAAAGACAAAAATAGATAAATATAGAGAGACCAATGTTCATTGGAGGAGCTCTGATAGTATAGTGCCTAAGGCATTTGGCTGCTAACCAGAAGGCTGGCAGTTTGAAACCACCAGACACTCCTCGGAAGGAAAACTGGGTGATCTATTTCCATAGTGACACTGCCTCAGAAACCCAAGGAGAGGTCGCTATGAGTCGGATACAATTTGATGGCAGTGAGTTGAGTAAAGTTCATTGGTGGTTACCAGGAAGGAGGTGTAGTATGCTTTATACAGTACATATCAGTTATTTTGGTGATGGGAAAAGTGGTACTAATTGTGGGTGTAGTGAGCACAGCACATTCAAAGTAATAATGAGTGTTTGAGTACATATGGATGGGTATAGTCAAAACGGTACATAGAAAGGTACAGATAGGTACATAGGTGAGAACAGACAGAAGTATCTATCGAAAAAAATTAAAAAAAAAAAAAAAAAACACCCCAAAACCTCAAACCCACTGCCAGTGAGTAGATTACGACTCATAGTGTGACCCTACAGGACACAGTAGAACTGCCCCATAGGGTTTCCAAGGCTATAAATCTTTACAGAAGCAAACTGCCTCATCTATCTCCTGCAGAGCATCTGGTGGGTTCAAACCACTGACCTTTTGGTTAGCAGCCAAATGCTTTAACCACTGTGCCACCAGAGATTCTTCAGAAGTATCTATAGGTATGTGTAAATACAAGTATGTGGGTACAGGCACATATATTTGTTGAAAACACAGATACAGATATTCCTCAGACATAATAAGCTCCTCCTGACACTAGTTTCCTGGGTTGGAAGGGTTAGGACCATAGTCTCATGGGACAACTCAGTCAACTGGCATAACATATTTCACAAAAATCATGATCTCTATCCTATTGAAGTGAGTAGTGTCTGGGGTCTTGAAAGCTCTCAGATGACCATCTAAGACACAATTCTAGGTCTCAACTCACCAGGAGTGACACAGTAAGAAGATAATGAAAAGTGCAGAGAAGAAACAAGTCTACAAGAGCCACAACTTCATCTACCCAGAGACCAGAAAAGCTAGATGGTGCCCAGCTACTACCACTGACTGTTCTGACTAGGGCTGTAATAGTTGGCCCCAGATACAATGGGAGAAAAATGCAGAGCAGAACTCAAATTCTTTTCTTTTCTTTTTTTAATTGTGATTTGGGTGAAAATTTACAGAGCAAATTTACTTTCCATACAGCAGCTCACATACACTTTGTCTCATGACATTGACCACAATTTACCACAATGCAAAAGCTCCCCTCCCACTTCCTCCTGATAGTTACCTCTTCCCTGTGTCCATCCCTCCATGCACTCCTGCCCCCTGAGCTGTCTCCCTGTGCATAAACAGCCCTTCTTTCTCCCATGATTGTTCTCTCCAAGGAGTATATCTACCTCAGGTAAATGTTCAACTCATATGCCTGTCTTTGGTTTGGCTGGAAGATACAGGTGTGGGTTCAATTCTAGATCTGAAGGGCAGCTGGAGGCCATAGTCTCAGTGGTTCCACCAGCCTCTATCAGACCAGCAAACCTGCTCCCCTCCCTTTTTTGTTTTCAAATGATTTTGAGATTTGTTCCACATTGTTTTCCCACTCTATCCAGGATCTCCTAAATAGATCTCCCTCTGAGTGGTTGACAGTGGTAGCTGGGCATCATCTAGGTCTTCTGTTCTCCCAGTTGTATAGGCTCAGATTGCATGGTGTACCAGTCACTAGGACTAATTGTTTCCATGAATCTTTGGTTTTCTTCATTCTTCTTTGCTCTAGATGAGGAGAGACCCATCCAGCTTCTCAGATTATTTGCTCAGTATACAGACTGAATAAGTATGGTGAAAGGATACAACCCTGATGTACACCCTTCCTGATTTCAAACCATGCAGTATCCCCTTGTTCTGTTTGAACAACAGCCTCTTGGTCTCTGTACAGGTTCCTCATGAGCACAATTAAGTGCTCTGGAATTCCCATTCTTCATAACGTTAGCATAATTTTTTAAGATCCACACAGTTGGGTGTCTTTACATAGTCAATAAAACACAGGTAAACATCTTTCTGGTATTCTTTGCTTTCAGCCAAGATCCATCTGACATCAGCAATGATATTTCTCCTTCCATGTCCTCTTCTGAATCAGGCTTGAATTTCTGGAGGATCCCTGTTGATATACTGCTGCCATTGTTTTTGAATTATCTTCAGCTAAATTTTACTGGCATGTGATATTAATGATATTATTCAATAATTTCCACATTCTTTTGGATTACCTCTCTTTGGAATGGGCACAAATATGGATCTGTTCCAGTCAGTTGGCCAGGTAGTTGTCTTCCAAATTTCTCGGCATAAACGAGTAAACGCCTCCAGCACTGCATCCATTTGTTGAAACGCCTCAAGGGATACTGCATCAATTCTTATTCCCCTGAGACACTTTTTAAACCTAGAACTGATCTTATTTTCTGAGATCACCTTTTAGCAAAACAGCAGAGTGGCACACAAATAAAGGCTATTAGCCATAAGATCAGTGCTGTACTTAAAAACCATCAGTATGAGACCAAAAAGTCATCAATTTCTCAAAAGCAAAGAAAAGAAGGTAAGAGGGCAGGGAAACTAGGGTACTGAAAAGGGAACAAACAGAACACATAAAGAATCTTGATATACTGTGATAAATATAACTAACAACACTGGAAGAATTTGTATGGAAATTGTCAAATAAGAATCTAAATTTCTGTGTAAGCTTCCACGATAAACTCAATAAAATATTATTTTTTAAAAAGAGAGAAAGAAAGAAAATCACCAAAGTAGTGAAATTCAAACAAACAAAAATTCCAAACCAGCTGTTGTTAAGTCAGTTCTGAGTCATCGCAATCCCATGTAGTTCTGAGTCATGGCAACCCCATGTGTTAAAGAGAGAACTACTCCAGAGGGTCTCCAAGGCTGTCACCTTTTAGAAGGTGATTGCCAGGCCTTTCTTCCAAGGTGCTTCTGGGTAGGATCGAACCACCAACCTTTCAGTTAGTGGCTGAGTGCTTAACCTTTTGTGCCACCCAGGGACTTCTAATGAAATCCAGCACAGCTTTCAAAATGTTAAATTTTTTAAATATTTCTCTTTCTGGTCTCTGGTAGAATGTGCAAATTATTGAGAAAGCAGTTTGTACTTTAATGGCCATATCCACCACTCTTGCCCACAGTTTCTCTCTCACTGTCCTGAAGATACTGTTCAAAATTCTATTCATTCGCTTTTCCTCTCATATTTTTGTAGAGGGAAGAATGAGAAACTGTGGGGAGCTGACCAGGTGAATCCAGGGGATTTATAGGGATCAATGTCTTATTCTACTGTAGGATGCTAGCTGTAATCTTTATTTAACATTGCTTGAATATTTTTGTTTTGTTTTGTTCTTTAAACCTATTTGTCACTTGTATTATTAGGATTTGGGTTTTGTTCTGCCATCTTAAAAGTTGTAGCTCTCTGTATTTCTTTAAACTGGTAACCTCAAGACTGAAGGAAAGGTGGAGAGTGAGTCCTCTCACTTAATGTTTCCTATCATTTGGTAAGAAAATACGTTTATTATTCAGGACAGTCTCTCTTACCTGCTGCTTGAGTGCTTCCAAGGACTCAAATTCCAATCTGGCCAGTTTCATCTGGATATGCCGTGGCTTATCAGGAATGGCAAATGCAAGTATAAACTTTAAAGCCAGGAGTGCATGCTGAAAACAAGAGAAAGTCACGTTGACTTGAGGCATTGGACCCAATGTGTAAGGAAACAAATTAGCACCCAAGCAATTTTCAATCCTTCTCATTTTTCTCGGGTAATTTCTAATTACCGGCCTATGAGTATCAAAGATCAAACAGGTCCACTGGCTATGTTTAATCTACCCTGCTGTGGCCCATTCAGTAACTACCTACTTTTGGTTTATTCTTTAAAAATTGGTTATTGCCATAAATTGATATAATATACTACTCTTAAGGTTTTATATAAAAATAAAGTTTATTCCTGAAAGCCTGCCATAAAATCTTTTTTTCCAACCTACATCTTAATTTCCAGTGTATCTTAGCACATAACACTGGCAGAGCCGCTCCCTTCTCTGCCCAGCATTCTCCTCCTTGCGCTGCTCTCTGGACTGAGCTGTATGAACTGCATGTGTGTCTTAAACATCAGTACATTTTGAATCATCTGCATCCCCAATAGTGCCTGGTGCAGTTTCTTTCATGAAATGATGATAAAGTTCGACTGACTGATGGAGGTGCAGTACCGTATGCTGTGAACTCCATATGCTCTAGGACAGGCACACAGAAATGTAGAGCATTATCTTTTTCATCACAACATGAGAAACTTAAAACCTGGCTATTCTATTTCCCAGCATCATAAAAGGGTTCTGCATAATACAGTATGAGATTATATTTATGTTTCTTTCTCTTCAGAACTAAGGCAATAGGACTGCTTCCATTAGCCACCCTGCTCTTCAGATGCACAGTCTCAACCTATTAATGCTTCTCCAATTCCAGCATCATCATGTGATCCAGGGCTGACACAAAGAGAAATCTTAATGATTAAAAGAATAAAGTTGCTTCTTCGATGGTAGCATGAATTACTAAATATCAAAAGCTGGGGAATAATTTTTAAAAGAAAGAAAGAATTGCAAGGCATTAAGAAAGTCAATGGAAGAGATGGAACAGCCTCTAAGAAATGTTGCATTGAATGACTGTTCAAAAAAGAAAACAGCTGAATACATGCAAATGGAATCCTTACTGACATATTTTCAAAAGGAGGAAGAAGGATAAATAACAAATTTCTCCTGGGAGAAGCATGAAATATGAAGAAAATCAGTATCATGCCAGAACAAGTTAATAATTAAATCAGAAGACTTGAAACTTGGCAGAACTCCAGGGTAGGCCAAGCACTGTCTGGTATTAACAAGAGAGCTGGAGTGGACCAGGGACAGATAGCCTTCACTTAAATGTGACTGCTGTGACCAAAGGGGACATTGGAAAATACTAATTAGGGGCCTATAGTAAGAAAGTATGTAGATAATATAGCAGGAATCAGATGACATTATATGTAGCAATTCTGACCTGAGACGAATTAACAAGGAATCTGGATATAATCCACAAATAAGTAAATAATTCAGAAAAAGCTATCCTCTGTCATTATTTCATGCCATTAAAATACTGAGATATAGTCTTATATAAGACTTAACCTCTTCAGAAGAAATATTAGACAACAAATAAATTAGTGGAGAAAAAGAAATCTATGTTCTTCAGTAAATGATGAGGCCTCAAGTTGTTGGAGTCCACCATGACTAAGTCACTGGGGTCCCTCTCTATCTCTCCTAACATATCTGCACCTTTTCGTCTTCCTTACAGTCTGAATGGGGATTAGTGAGAAAAATAACCCTGGTGAGCAAAGACATACTTCCTGGATAGAGGGTGCTTGGAAGATGTGTGAACTCTACAACCAGGACTAGATGTTATGTGACTGCATGTATATGGTGTGCAGGTTCATAAAAGTTTTCATAAACTGAAAACATTTGGTTTTGATTACCAAAAAAAAAAAAAAAACCCCACCAAAAAAACCAAACCCACTGCCATTGAGTCCATTCTGATTCACAGCTATCCCCATTGAGTTTCTAAGGCAGTAAATCTTTATGGATCTTCCTACCGCAGAGCAGCTAATGGGTTTGAACTGCCAACCTTTTGGTTAGCAGTCAAATACCTTAGGCACTGTGAACAGACAATATTAATCAAAACAGGAGGCCATTTTAACTGGCTAAAACACTTGGTAACAAGCTTTTATAAATAAGTCTCTGTCATTTATTTTCATAAAAATATTTTAGAATGAGCTTTTAAAATCCCTTAGGTAGAGAAGTCTGTTACTTTTAAAATATATTTACAAAACAGGTTATTTGTTGATCTATTCATTCCAAACTCTTAATTTTCTACTGAACAACTCCAGGGTAATAATATTGCTTGAAGAGCCCCACACAAACCACAGAGCTGAGCACTCTTTAGTTAGTTACCAGCACCAACAAAAGCTAGCAGGAATGGGACATTATTTCCATCTACTCATATTTATTTAATGATTATAATGTACTGGAGGATACTACTGTAAAACAGATGATGTCCTGGCTCACAGTCTGGATGGGTAGACAAGTAATGACCTGAGTTATTCTAATATCACATGTTAGTACTACTGCCAGAGTACATGCAAGGAGCCTGGAGCACACAGGTCAGCAGCTGTTCCAGTTTTTAGCAGGTTGGAGAGGGCTTGAAAGAAGGAAGTTTAAGCAGAGAGAGTTAGGGGAATTAGTTAGGCAAGGCAAGGGAGAGGAGTGTTTCCAGAGAGGACACACAAACAAAGGCAAGTAGAGAGATGATGAAGGAATTATGTAACCAGGTTGAGGAGTGAGGAGGCACTGAAGAGTTTAACCCAGGAATGACATGATCAGGTTTCTCCATCTGTGGCATGGAGAATGGACAAGTCAGGAGGCTGAAGAAGTGCAGGTAAGTCAGGAAAGTGCTCTGAAGTGCTGAGGAGCAACGGTGGTGAAGCTCCCAGGAATGATTGGAGTGCTTTCCAGCAAAAGAACTTGAGGTAGCCATGAGCTGTCCACCAAAATGATATGCACAGGATGAGGAGCAAGCTGGTGGGAGAAAGAGTCTGAAGGCTTTTAGGTGTCTGTGGAGCATGTGTGTGGAGACACTCAGTTGGTAGTTCGATAGAGGGATCTCACGAGAGAGATGGGGGCTGGAGACAGAGATGTGAGAGTCATTGCTGTGTATATAAAAGCAGCAAATAAAGCTGTGGGAATGGGTGAGATTCCAGTGAGAAGATAAGATGAGATGAAGCGAGAAGCAATAGGCTGGAGCTAGAGGAAAAGAAACGTGTGTGATGACAGAAGGGAAGGGGCCTGGAAAAAAGCTTGAGAAGAAGCAGGGAGGAGGTGGACAGATGCCAAACCAAAAAACCAAACTCACTGCCAGCGAGTCCGATCTGACTCATAGCGACCTCTCCTTGGGTTTCCAAGGCAGTATCACTATGGAAGTAGGTTGCCCCATCTTCCTTCTGAAGAGTGGCTGGTGGGTCTGAACCGCCATCCTTCTGATTAGCAGTCAAATGCCTTAGGTACTATGCCACCAGGTAGAGTCTAAAGTTACTGAAGTGAGGGGGAAAGTAAGGAGTGTGTCATGGTGGGTGTTGCAAGGTCAAGTACATAAAGACCATGGAGAACCACTTGGATTTAACCACCAGAAAGCTTTTGGAGCCCTTAGTGAGAGTGGTTTCAGCTGAGAGTGGTTCCACAGAAGCTAGACCACAGTGGGCTGAGAACAGACAGGGAAGTAAGGTTGGAGAAAGGAAAGGCAGAGAACAGGTTCAGAAAGGTAGTAGCTAGCTAACAGTACAAAGACCTAGACCTACATGCAGAACACGTACCCCAAGGCAATGTACCCACGAGCAATCAGCCATGAGACACCAGAGTGGCAGCATTCACATAGAGGGAAAGCTGGACAGACATGAATGCATAATTAAGAAGGGTACAGGGAGGGGGGTAGTCACAGGGATGGGAGGGGAGGAGAGTTTGTTATGGTTGGGGATGTTAATC